CCCGCCGCGGCTGCAGCTTTGCTCCCAGTGTCCCTGGTCTGCTGGAGACGGTCCCCAGCAGACCAGGGGCACTGGGAACAGCTTTTCTCGCCCTGGAGGTCGAGGTGGCGGGACCGCTGCCTGAGAGCTCCGGGGTGAGAAAGCCCCATTCGTAAGTGCGGATCCGACATAAGTCGGATCCGTGTAAGTCAGGGACTGCCCCCGCCGCGGCTGCAGCTTTGCTCCCAGTGTCCCTGGTCTGCTGGAGACGGTCCCCAGCAGACCAGGGGCACTGGGAACAGCTTTTCTCGCCCTGGAGGTCGAGGTGGCGGGACCGCTGCCTGAGAGCTCCGGGGTGAGAAAGCCCCATTCGTAAGTGCGGATCCGACATAAGTCGGATCCGTGTAAGTCAGGGACTGCCTGTAATTAGGTGCATGATTGGAAAGATATTCTCTCCTTCAGGTTTCTCATCAATGTGAATATTTCCTCATGAGACTAGGAAATTATCCAAAATATTTATTTTTTTAAAATTATTGTGGCTCACAGTAAAGTGAATGGAGTTGCATAAGTTTCTAAAACCCAGAGAAGCATTTTACAATATGTACCCGTAAGTTCTGAGTTAAAGTGCTGTTTGTATTGGCTAGATGGCGCAGTTGTGCTTTTATGTAGAACTGCAATCACTCATTGCTAGCTGTATTTAACATGTATGAATTAACATATGAAAGACTTGATACTAACAATCTGATTATCCATTAATAAATTACTTTTTACTATAAAGAGAACAGTAATAAAAAGCCATCAAATTCATGTAAATTGTTTTATCAGAACTATAAAGATATACCCTTTAATTTATAGGGGGAATAATTACAGGCAGTCCCCGACTTACGCGGATCCGACTTACGTCGGATCCGCACTTACAAACGGGGCTTTCTCGCCCCGGAGGTCGGGGCGAGAAAGCCCCGTTCGTAAGCTGCTCCGGTGCCCCTGGTCTGCTGGAGACCGTCTCCAGCAGACCTCCCTGTGTTGGGGGAGGAGTTGCATGGCTGGTGGTCCCCCAGATGGCCTCTGACCATTCCCCTGTGGTAGAACCGCATGTGAGCACATGACCAGAGCTTCTCTGAGCTGCCATTTCCCCAGCCAGAGGGAGTAGGGGATGACATCAGAATGAAGAACCACTTCCTCTCCCCTGCTAGGCAGAGCCCGTGGGCCCGATGCAGCCTGTAACTTGCATTGATCCAGCCTGTTACGCTTGGGATTCCGGACTCCATAGCAGGACAAGCCAGCTCTGGCTTGCTCTGTTGTGGGAAGAGAGAGCCCAAGCCTCGTGGGCCGGATCAAGACATGCCGCATGCTGGGCCATAGGTCCCCATCCCTTTAACTAGATACAAATTTAATCACTAGCAGAACTTAAAATTATCGATAAGGTGAACTGATTTCGAAAGAACATGGTTTTCAAAGAAGAATAAATAAATTAAAACTAAATAAATATTTAGCTACCAGATTGCAGAAAATATCTCAAAAGTAAGTGACATGTTATTGCATATACAGGCAGTCCCCGACTTACGCGGATCCGACTTACGTCGGATCCGCACTTACGAACGGGGCGCTGACTACAGGAAGCCCCAGGCAGAGTTGCTCTGCCCCGGGCTTCCTGGAATCAGCTGCTGATCAGTTTCAGCAGCAGCTGACTTGGGGACGCCTGGGGTTCTTAAGTTGATTCTGTATGTAAGTCAGAACTGGCGGTCAGTTTCAGCAGTGTCTGAATCTGGACGCCAGTTCCGACTTACATACAGATTCAACTTAAGAACAAACCTACAGTCCCTATCTTGTACGTGCTCTGCCCCGGGCTTCCTGGAATCAGCTGCTGATCAGTTTCAGCAGCAGCTGACTTGGGGACGCCTGGGGTTCTTAAGTTGATTCTGTATGTAAGTCAGAACTGGCGGTCAGTTTCAGCAGTGTCTGAATCTGGACGCCAGTTCCGACTTACATACAGATTCAACTTAAGAACAAACCTACAGTCCCTATCTTGTACGTAACCCGGGGACTGCCTGTACACAGTGAAAGGTTTTAAGATAACAGATTCATAGAATACTAGAATTTGGAAGGGACCTTGAGAGATCAAGTCCCAGGGCAGGATCAAGCAGTCTGGATCAGAGCTACTCAACTTTGGAAGTCCCGCGGGCCACAATGATACTCACAGCACATGTCCAGGGCTGCAACTTACATCGGGTCGCATATACATGTAAATATATATGCAAATAGCGTCTTTCCAACTGACGGCACAAATACAAAGATTAACGAAAGACAATGCTCACGCAGGCCCCATTTAAGTTAATTCTGCTGATATTAATAAAATGCAATATTTACCCAATTTCCACCCGTATGACAGCACTTCTAATGAGCAATGACAGTCCAGGAATTTAATTACTAAAAAGTATATCAACAGAAGACCATTATAATGACTATTTTTTTTTGTTTTGGCTCCCACCTGCGGGCCACAAACAAATGGACCGCATGTGGCCCATGGGCCGCGTGTTGAGTAGCTCTGGTCTACGTCATCCGTGATAGATGTCTATCCAACTTGCTCTTCAGTATCTCCAGTGACAGAGATTCCACAAGCTCCCTATGCAATTTGTTTAATCACCCTGACAATTAAGAAGTTTTTCCTAATATCCAACCTAAACCTCCCTTCTGGCAATCTAAGCACATTGTCCTGTCATCAGAGGCCAAGGAGAACAATTTTTCTCCCTTTGCCTTGTGACATCGTTTTAGATGCTTGAAAACTGTTATCATGTCCCCTCTCAGTAGTCTCTTTTCTAAACTAAAGAAGAACAATTATTTCAGTCTTCCCTCATAGCTCATGTTTTCTAGCCCTTTAATCATTTTTGTTACTCTTCTCCAGATCTTCCCCAATTTCTCCATATCTCTCTTGAAATGTGGTGCCCGGAACTGGACACAATACTCCAAGTGGGGCCTAATTAGTGCACCATAGAGCAAAATGTCTTCTCATGTCTTGCTCACAACACCCGTTAATACATCCCACAATCATGTTTGCTTTTTTTTATTTGTTGCAACAGTGTAATATTGTTGTCTCATATTTATCTCATGGTCTACTATGATCCCAAAATCCCCCTCTCTCACACTCCTTCTTAGACAATCACTTCCTATGTTGTATGTGTGAAACTGATTGTTCCTTCCTAAACGGAGCACTTTGCATTTGTCCTTATTAAACTTAATCCTGTTTACCTCAGACCATTTCTCCAGTTTTTCCAGATCATTTTGAATTATGGCCCTATCCTGCAGAGAAATTGCAACCCCTCCCAGCTTGATCTCATCTGCAATCGTAATCAAAAGCGCACATTTTTGTAGTGCAAAAACGGCTACCTAGGAATTAACTACCTGCAGCAGTAATTCATATGTAACGGACTATTAAAAACTGCTTTCTGATGTTTGCTTTTCAGCCTGCCTGCAGTTTCTTTGCCCACCCCCAACCAGTCAAAGCTCAGAGCCTCACCACCTCTCTCCTCCGGTTTGCTTCCCCCACCCTCCCTTTTCAAGCACCGCACGATCTTATGCCAAGCAAGGGCAGGGTGAAGGGCGGTAACTTCAGCCTGTGTTGCTGGGCATGTCCCAAGGATTTCTCGGTTCTCCGGCCCGGCGGCTGCACAAGCGGGGCACCAGGTATGTGAGTAGCGAAACGGCTCTTGACCTCGGAAATGGCTCTTGATCATGTCTACACATCAGCGTGTCCAGAGGCAGCTACTCCGCCCCGTGAGCCCGGCCCTGCAGAGGCCTCTGTCCCCAGCCGCTC